TTTTGATTTTTCATTCATGCAGTCCAAGCGAGTCCGTTCGCGCGTTGACAGTTTTGATAGACGTGTGACATGTGAATAGCGGAAGTCCCTTGTCTTTTCCGGTTTGTTCTAGTCGGGGAGATTCAACGAGATTTTGTGGGCGTTTTTAATAAAACAATTATTCCATTTGCGCTTGTTGGATATGAGATGATTATAGCCAACTCGGCGCTACGCGCCTCGTTGGCTGTCTATCATCTCATATCCAACGCGCCCTCGTGGAATAATTGTTAAATAATATACGTTAAATAGAACGATCTCTGTACAACAAGAGAGACTAGTTTTGGGAAAGAGCAACTGCACGATGTTAATAAACGCAATTTAAAAACTAGTCACGGTTTTCTTAGCTGCTTTTTTTATTTAACTCATCTACGGTGGGTGGCGTTTAAATGCACAGCAACTGTGTAATGGAATTTTTTTCCGACACAATTAGATCCGGCTATATCTTTTTACTCAAGTCAAAGGGACACTGAATAATTTAAGCCTTCCATATAACAATGTCTTTCTCTTGTTATTCTACAAATTAAAACTGTATTTTTACCTTACGCCTTTTTGAGCAGACCGTAAATTGTACGGTGTCATTTCTGTAAACAGAACGATCACACTGAACGTTGAGAGACGAAAACCGTCTCAGATCTCTGAAGATCGTTTTTCTCTTTAGTTTTCATTGTGCAAGTGCATTCTCCCTTTCTGATAGAGTCGTTTCACTCGAGGCAGAAAAGTTGGAGTTGGAATTTTTGAAAGCGTGGTCTTATTTGGAAATCATTGACCTCAGACCCCACTCGCGGCATGAGCTCCTTACCAAGGATAATTCATCTGAGGGGGGAGGTAAGGGGGAGACAGGATTGACTCCCGGCACGACGAGGTTTACACAGTATTAGAAAACTTTGTTATTCCCATGAGTTGCTAAAACTTTAATCAAGTTGCCCCGTATCAAAGGTTGCTCCAAATAGCCGAGAAAACAGCCTGGGATAAGAGATCTTAAAGGACAGGAGGCGGGAGAAATAGAGGGAAACTACGAAGCAATACTTAATATTTTGCAATCTAAAAAGTGCTAAAGGAAGGAAGCAAAGAAAAAAGGAGGCGAGAGCAGGAGATGCATGGTATTGGAGCTGGGAGGTGCAAGGTATGGGAGCTGGGAGGCACGAGAGGAACGGCAGGTATGGGAGCCAGGAGGAACGGTTAGGGTTAGGGTCAGGTATAAGAACCGAAGCCCTGCCACCTCCCCCCGGCCTTGATGGTCTTAAATTATCTATTTAGAATACTTGCAGGCAATTATAATCAGATTACCTTGAGGAAAATTATGCAAACGTTATTGCTTTGAAGCATTAATGCATCAGTCAATTCCAGCTGCGCCCCGCCCCCCCATCCCGGGCTGACCCACGGCGTTAGTATTTTTTTGCCTTGGATGACAAATTCCAGGGGAAAGACAATGTTACGTCTTACACTTTATGGGATGACACACTTATTATATTCAGTAATGATAATGGCGGGTTACCAAGGTCAGGAGCAGGGCGGATAAAGGTTGCCCAACATTTATCCGCCCTGGTCAGGAGGTTTCAATTAGCCCCTCCTTGGTACAAAACATACCGTGTCGGAGGAAGGAGCCGGAGGGGCTGCATTTGTATGGACGCTCTTTACATATCGAAAATGATGAAAAATGCGGAAACGCGTGAAAAACAAAGAATTTTTACATGTGACGGACTGGTATCCAACGTTAATCAATCTAGTAGGAAAGGATTAAGTCCATATTGAAGTCAATAAAATCTAATCCATAAGCTAAGACCTTTTTTGCGGTTAGGAGGCAGTGTTGACCGAGAATATCCCAAGCTAATTGACGGTTATGACATATGGGAAACAATCTCCTCTGGAAAACCATCGCAGCCAGACGAAGTACTTATTAATATATTATCATGCCGCGTTCTGCAGCTTAAAACGGCACACAGATCTGATCGGCCTTAAGCCCTCACTTGCATGTAAAATTTTGGACTCAATGATTTCACCAATTTTAACCTACAACAGTGAAGTTTGGGGTGCTTTTGTTAAATCAGATTTTAAGTCCTGGGACAGTTCTGCAAGAAAACCCATTTACAACTCTGTAAACGCTCTGACATTGCATGTAGAGCTGAACTCGGTAAATTCCCCAAGATCATTGATATAAATAAAAAGATTCTAAATTACTTCAGCTACTTGAAAGATAAAGATGAAGATTCTATAGCAAAAACAAGCCTTCAATTGACCCTTATTATAGCGGGGAAAATAGCTTTTACTCTGATCTCAAGAAGAACTGCGACTTTCCTTGTATAATTAATTGAATGACTCTAAAGTTAAACGGTATGTCGACGTAATGAAAAATAAACACGTTTCTTACGGCGGGAACCATACCCCTCAACAATTAATTACAAAAACTCAGTTTCAGTTTATTGTGCAATCAAAAAGGACTGTAGCCCCTCACCGTACGTACCTAGTTCTAACAAGAAAAGACCCCGCGTCAAGAAAAGCCTTAAGAGTCTTAAAATTAGAATAAGTAGTCGTCAACTTAGAATTGAAACGGATAGATACAAAAAAAATCCCTCGCAATGAAAGGATATGTTCCTTTTGTAACAGTTACAAAATTGAGGATGATTACTAGATTAAAAGGCCTATTATTTCATACATACTGAGTGATTCTGTTTGAGTCAATCTGAGTGAAAACATAGTTCGCGCCTTTATACAACCAATCAGAAAAGCGAAACGGCTTTTTCACGTGTGAGTAGAACGTTTCGACCAACCACAGAGCACCCACCAAAAGCAACCGTGTTTTCGGTAGCTTTGTGTTTTCATTAAAGGTTTTATTCTGGCAGCTTTGTCAAAAAGTTAAGACGTCTAGATTTTTGGCTTGGATAATATCTCTAGAAAATTGCCAGAAGAAACTAAATATTGGCTGAAGGAGAAATCCTCCGCTTTCCCGCTTTGCAGAAATCTGTTAACCTATTTATCGAGGAACAGAAAAACAAACAAACGTTGTCGAAAGCTAGACGAGATGTCGGCTTGCTCTCCGAGTTTCTGAAATCCGAGCAAGAAAGCAGAAAAATAGAAGAGATTCAATCACAGGAACTCAAAGATTTTCTGAGTGGGTTTATAGCTACTGTTACTGTTTATAGTAATAGAAACGCATCAAGCGAGTTCTCGACTCATCCGATGAGGACAGCCCGCCTGCTGTACCTTTTCAGTGACAATTTTTTGTCNCGGGGAAAATAGCTTTTACTCTGATCTCAAGAAGAACTGCGACTTTCCTTGTATAATTAATTGAATGACTCTAAAGTTAAACGGTATGTCGACGTAATGAAAAATAAACACGTTTCTTACGGCGGGAACCATACCCCTCAACAATTAATTACAAAAACTCAGTTTCAGTTTATTGTGCAATCAAAAAGGACTGTAGCCCCTCACCGTACGTACCTAGTTCTAACAAGAAAAGACCCCGCGTCAAGAAAAGCCTTAAGAGTCTTAAAATTAGAATAAGTAGTCGTCAACTTAGAATTGAAACGGATAGATACAAAAAAAATCCCTCGCAATGAAAGGATATGTTCCTTTTGTAACAGTTACAAAATTGAGGATGATTACTAGATTAAAAGGCCTATTATTTCATACATACTGAGTGATTCTGTTTGAGTCAATCTGAGTGAAAACATAGTTCGCGCCTTTATACAACCAATCAGAAAAGCGAAACGGCTTTTTCAAGTGTGAGTAGAACGTTTCGACCAACCACAGAGCACCCACCAAAAGCAACCGTGTTTTCGGTAGCTTTGTGTTTTCATTAAAGGTTTTATTCTGGCAGCTTTGTCAAAAAGTTAAGACGTCTAGATTTTTGGCTTGGATAATATCTCTAGAAAATTGCCAGAAGAAACTAAATATTGGCTGAAGGAGAAATCCTCCGCTTTCCCGCTTTGCAGAAATCTGTTAACCTATTTATCGAGGAACAGAAAAACAAACAAACGTTGTCGAAAGCTAGACGAGATGTCGGCTTGCTCTCCGAGTTTCTGAAATCCGAGCAAGAAAGCAGAAAAATAGAAGAGATTCAATCACAGGAACTCAAAGATTTTCTGAGTGGGTTTATAGCTACTGTTACTGTTTATAGTAATAGAAACGCATCAAGCGAGTTCTCGACTCATCCGATGAGGACAGCCCGCCTGCTGTACCTTTTCAGTGACAATTTTTTGTCAAAGCTTTTTTATTGATTACCCCACCTATGCGAATCACCTCACCTACCTGGGGTCTCCCACCTTTGTGTAAACAGGCCCTTTTTGGAAATTGATCTGACTCATGTGAAGTATGACGTCTGAACAAGGGCTCAGTTACTTCAAAAATAAATAATTGATAGGAATACTGTTCTGTTCACTTCTTTAATTATTATTAATTATCAGTATCATTATCATTACTATTATTATTATTACTATTATTATTATTATTATTATTATTATTATTGGTCAATACATCTATCATGATCCAGGGCTTAAGGACAAGCACACCAAGTGTTAAGCAAGTATGGCTGGCCGACGACTCCGCGGGGGGTGGACAAATTGTGCCGTTGTATAACTGGTACAATCACCTGAGTCAGGAATAAAGAAGTATGGTTATCTGGTGAATGGATCAAAGAGCTGACCGTGTAAGAAAAATGAGAACAGGACCTTGGCGTGAAGGTTGGAGCGAAAAAAAAAACGACGACTTATTAGCGAGCACTTCTCGGTTGCTAAATGGTACTGAAATGGGGAGCTTTTGACCAAGAGTCTCTGGAATACAATTAGCTGTCCTTAGCTATCACAAGAGTAAACATAATAAAATGTTCCCTCCGCGATCACTAAACTTACTGCACGGATAGTTGCCTCAAACTTCGAAAGTAACCTAAGTTAATTCTTTGCTTTTAGTCTACTGGCGAGGAATACTGAGGTTTGATTATATAGTTTCAGTTCAGGTAAAAACCTCTCTATTATCAAACCTTAAGAAGAATTGCTTTGAATGAGAAATAATGAAATAAGCTCAAACAGCAAACGCTACTTTTCAGTTATACACTTTAATAAACGTCTTATTCATATGTTAACAGTGGTGCTGAAATCCCGGACTTGTGAGTTATAGTTTTTTAACAATCTGAATCACTACTATCTAAAACTATGATAAAAATCATCAACAGACTACCCAACCACGTAGGGGTCGAAACCACTCATTCTCTTTCAAAGTCTTCTATCTATTTTTACTTTTTGTAGTATAAGAACTCATAATAACTCATGATCTCATGAGCTACTTTAATCTAAAGTCACTTTCAAGCTTGAGCTTTAGGAACTTCTTCAACAAATATACGGGACACTGAATTCCATCCTGTGTGGCCATCAGCGTTTCCATATGAAGCGCAGTTGCCGATCCAGAATCCCACGCGCACCTTTCCTTTATGGATGTTATTACAGTGCCCCTCAATATGGCGGACGCGAAGGAGATTTTTATTACCGCCTGTCGCCATGTAGACAACTCCGTCAATGGGCAGAGGAGCAGAACACTCAGAGCCATTGAAAGTAAAGTACCAACGTTTGCAGCAGCTATTGCAGCTGGCAATCCTTAGTGCACCCGTCCAGTAAACATGAAGGGCAGTATCAGAAAAGTTTTTGGTGAAAACACAGTCCTGCAAAAAACACAAAGAATTTGACAGAAAATCTATTAATGAAGAGGCTCAGTAACAGATTAATGTTTCATTACATCTAAAACCTAGATCTAGCTTAGATCTGATAGCAACTGCCTAGTGCCCAATATTGATTGTGGTCGTTGTGGATAGACAAATAAATCAGTTCATGAATGTAGAGGTCAAGGCTAACTTCACAGCTGGGAGACTGAATTTATCCTTTTTCCGAAAAAAGGACTGATATAATCTACTGCTGTAGTCAGCCTTGCATTTTTTTAATTTTGTGCTATACAAGATTTTACTGGCTAGGAGTAGATCCACCATTATGATGATCATGCACCTTTAGGTTTTTAATTTGGCCCTCTTCGACGTACCCCGTAGAAACGGTGCCCCCGTTACTTGTCCTCCCCTCCACCTCCCAAACCCTTCATTCAGCGTTAGAGACTGTTTTCAGCTAGAACTTTGACTTTCCAGTTGTCACGCCTATTGGTAGCTGGAAGTCGTTGGCGCCGACCAATTCGAAACCTTAACATTCCCCGGCAAAACCCGGGCATTTGACCATCACTTGTGCCTAGGGGTGGGGAATTGAACTGCAAGCCTCCAGTTTAACTTTTTTTGAGCTCCGGTGTCTGACAACGTATTTCACATCCTCGGTAGATGCGATCTTTCTCATAATTAGATGGAAGACTTCAAACGGTTTAAGACACATCTGTTGTAAACGAATGGCTTTTTTTACTTCAAAAGCTAAGTGTATGCTGTTTTGTTACCATGACCCCAAGTTCCCTCCCTTTTTTAGTTTGAAGTTTATTAATTCATAAATACATAGCAGTTCGAAAACTGAATTGCGTATTTACATTACAAAAATTAAATTATAGATCTAAGCATTAACTAATCTATCTTAATTAAAAGGAATAAAGAAGGTGACAAGAGATGAGATGCCAAAAAAAGTTATCGAAATACAAGCTGCGAAATTTGAAAACCTTAACCTATAAGTTAGTTGCTTTAAGACATGAAAAGATAATAAAGCTATTCTTAAAAAGGTCAGTTTTAAAACGTGGCATGTTAAAAGATCGCGCACGCCTTAATGAATAAGTAGATTCGTGCGGTGCAGGTAATAACTTATAAAGACGGTGATTGTTGTCATTGACAATTGTTTGAAAAAGTGACTCACATATTTCGTCATGGTGGGTTGCTATTTTCTTAAATTTCATAATAACAAGAGCCTCATGATAGCTAACATTGGACATTGCTCTCTTCTGTACAGCCTGTTCCAATTCTTGCGTTAAATATTTAGGCAAACTGAAGTGAAAGGCCGGTAGTGCATAGTCCATAATTGATCTAATACAACTAGAGTGGAAGAGCCCTAAATCAGTGCGAGTAACCTTAGCTCTCTTAAGTTGTACCAAAAAATATATAATCTCTTGGAGCCATTCTTAACAGTTTCATTAATACAGATATTCCAGGTCAAATCACTGGAAATATTGAGACCCAATAACTTTACACTGTCTACA